TGTCCCCTAGGTTTGTAGAACGCTTTCACTCGTATCTCTCTTCGACTCCCTCTACCAAATCTCCTTCTAACTTTCCTCAATCTCCCTTCTCCTTAGTAGTCCGATCTCCCCTCCCCTGTTTTCTTTTCTTTCTTTTTCTCTTTTTTTTTTCTTCTCAGCCCTCCCCTATTTATATTTCTCTTGTCACCTAATCTCAACCCTTCATTTTACCCACCCCCCTCCCCCCTCTAAAAAAAAATCCCTCATCGTTCACCTAACCCTCAGTACATTACACTACGTCTAAAATCAATCTCCATTATTCAGAATGAAAAATAATAAGTCATTTAAATGCCCACCAAATTTTAGTATTGTAGTCTGATCGCCAAAAAAATCGAAACTGATCTAATATAATTTTTCAACAAAAATTCCATTCTCTCTCCCTTTTTGTTTTTTTTAATTGCGTAGATGTCTCACAGATAACTTGAGACATAAGTGACATATGCTAAAACATTAATAGTGATAATGGAACAAAAAAAAAAGAGCTTAAACAACATGAATTTTCCATATAAGATGGAACCTAAATTGAACAATCCAAACATGATTGACATAGTCATTTATTTACCTTTTTAATTTTGAATTTATTTTTATCTTTAATTTTTTAAATTCATTGCTATGGTTATTACTATTATCATGAAGTATGGGAAATCACTAATTACAAAATTTACAAACAAAACTAGAATATGGGGTTAAAAAATACATCAAACGGAAAAATAAACTGCAAGCCTAAAAAAAGAAAATAATTATAACAAATTCTTAATTGGTACATACACCAGTAGAAAAAAATATAAACTAAATTGAAATAGCACAAAACCAAAAGAAACTAAAATTCTTATACACAATCCACTATCATCACTTTCTTCATTTATAGGTTGCACAACCTAATTAAAATGAAATATAAAATTATATCTACACGTAAATCACATTGAACATGAAACCCATTTGCGTATTGAACGTCCTAAAAGCCAAATCCACACGAGCTGCAAAAAATGACACCTGAAACCTCAAAGATCCAACCCGGCCCAAACTGCACAAGCCCAGCCCATTTTTTCCAACCTTGAAACACGCTGTTTCCGGAGTGCTGAGCTCTTTGATTTCTTCTGGCTTGGATGGGCGACAAAGGAAGAGCAGACGAAGAGAGTGAAACGCGAGAGCAGAGCAGAGGGGCTGAGGTGCCATAACAGAAGCAAAGCTGCATGCGTGAAGAGGAAGAAGACAAAGATAAAAAGCCCGTTTGATCAGATCAAAGGCGAGGGAGGGGAGTTCTTCTTTGAAAACTTCTTCTTCCTTGTCCAGAGGGAGGGAAGAGCTATTTCCTCTTTTGGTAGTTCGGGCTGGGAGCGGGGAAAATCAGTGAGCAGAGAGGGAGGCGTTTAGGTTTATTTTTTGAGTGAGGGAAGACACAGGAACGAAGTCACCAAAGATAGAGACAAGTTAGGTAACTCTTTTATAAACCATTTACTAGATTCTTGAAAACAGAAATTTGAACTTGGTTTTGGAATTGTTTGAGTTGTTACGATGACCGTGTTTTGTTTGACTCTTGGGATTGAGAACTTTTATCTACGTTGAAATGAAAGTTCAATTCCTATTTCATCATGTCTTCCTCCTGATTAATCCGTTTCCATTTCAATCTTATTGTCTCTAGGCCAGTTCACCATTCTTCCTGTCTCAGTATTCTGGCCATA